CAATACATTATTACCGAGGGCCAAAAGTCCCTGAAAACTTCTATAATGTTTATTTTAATAAGTTATAAGGGCGAAATTATCGTTTATGTGTATATTTATTGAAGTGAAAGAAACTAATGATATATTTATTATAACTTGAAAAATAAACTAAACAATACAAATAGTAAATCGTACTTACATTTACATTACACGTTATTATTAAATCGCGAATAGTCTAAATTGACATTAAAAAACATAAGTTTTTCTACTATACCTACTTCTTATTAACCGTCTTCTTTTTTTATTTCAAATTAAACCAGATTTTGAACATGTGTTCACATTTACAATACTGTATGAATATAGGGTTAAGTTAGGATATACATGGCGATGGTTTTTCCACCGTTGTAATGGACTCTCGATACAGATGTACGTGTAGATGAGCCATCTCCAATTAATTGATCAAATATACACCATGGATTGAAGTCATCTTTATTGGTTTCTTTTTCTTGTACTGGTTGATTTTCAATAGTACAATCTTCTTGTTCGTTAATTATAGAAGTAACCAGCTTCTTAACTTTTTCTTTTATTTTTTTATCTTCATTTTTATCAGAAAAACCCTGCACTTTAAATGGTGAATCCATAAATGTACATAATGACAATATGGATGTAAGGTTACCGTTTGCTAAAATTTTCTTGCAAGATTCTTGCAGGCCGCGTACCATAAGAATCACTGAACTACCCTCCAAGTATTTTTGGTCACTCGTTGTACTTGTTATTTCTTTAAACGGCCGTAAAATTTGGAAAAGCTGAGAACAAATAATCCAGTGTTTTTTATTTAGATTTGGTCTAAGTCTAAGTCTGTATTATTTAATACCGATGTGGAACGGAAATACACGCCAGTACACCGAAAATATCAAAATACAGAGAGGAGTCCGCCAGGGTTGCGTGCTGTCCCCACTACTTTTCAATGTCTACAGTGATCGGTATTTTAAGAAGCGCTCTCAGACTCAATAGAAGGTATATCTATCAATGGAGAAGTTTTGAATAACTTACGTTTTGCAGACGATACAGTAATAATTACGGATAACAACAATGATTTACAGAACCTAATGCAACGCCTTAATGAACGCTGTCATGAGTACGGACTGAAGATAAATTTAAAGAAAACTAAATGCATGATCATGACTAAATCTGCACAAATATCCAATTGACTATTGAAGATACTGCAATTAAGAGTGTTAATAACTATAAATACTTAGGAACATGGATAACATCAGATGTAGACCAAACCAAAGAAATTAAGACACGTATTGAAATAGCACGTACATCATTTATTAAACTTAAAAAGTTTCTTTGTTATCGGGATATAAGGTTAGAACTACGCCTGAGAATGCTTCGATGTTACGTGTTCTCTACTCTTCTTTATGGTCTGAAAGCTTGGACACGAAAACAAGTTCATCTGAATAAGTTGGCCGCCTTTGAATTTTGGTGTTACAGAAGAATCCTACGAATATCATGGATTCAAAAAATGTCAAACATTGAAGTAACTAGAAGGATAGGAAATGAGGCAGAAATAATATTAACTATTAAAAGACGAAAACTTGAGTACTTGGGACATGTGATGAGAGGGCAAAAATACGCATTATTACAACTTATTATGCAGGGAAAAATCCGAGAAAAGCGAAATGTGGGAAGACGAAGAATATCCTGGCTTAAGAACTTAAGAGAATGGTTTGAATGCATTAGTGAAGACCTTTTTAGAGCGGCAGTCAACAGAGTCGGCATAACCATGATGATTTCAACCTTCGATAGAAGATGGAACTTAAAGAAGAAGAAGTGAAACGGATTGCCTCTTCTAACTCAGTCATTCAAGTTCTACCTAGTTTCCACGTCTTGGATTGGCCGTTTGGGAACTTTGTTATGTTGTAATTAATACTTTAAAAGCCTTTCTGAAGATAAGGTACTTTTTTTTAATGTTTTTTGCAGAATTGTCGAAAAGAGGACTTTTTATTTTATCTATTATCAAATCAGTTTTGACATAACATTCCTGAAGTAATGAATCTAACAGTTTTTCTTGTTGGCGGTTTATATCCAGGAATCCACCCTGCAAACTTTTTAAAAGCTGGTTCTTCACCTATAGAAAACGGATCAAACGAGTCTTTGCATAAGTTTAGTAAATCAATAAGTTTAGTCAAGAAAAAGAAACTGATAAAGATGACTTAAGTCCATTGTGTATTTTTGATGAATTAATTGAACATGACTCATCTAAACATACAACTGTATCAAGAGATATACAAGAAGTCGACATGTATTTGTCTGATAATATATTACCCACAATAAATTTCGAACGGAGATTGGAACTGTCCATTACCGTGGTGGAAAAACCATCGCCATGTATATCCTAACTTAGCCACTATATTCCGAAAATATTGTAGAATTGTAACAAAATCTTTTCCTTGTGAACACATGTTTTAAAATCTGGTTTAATTTTAAATAAAAGAAGAACAGGGTTAACAAGAAAAGTAGAAAACTTGTTTTTACATGTCAATTTAGCCGATTCGCGATTTAATAATAACGTGTAATGTAAATGTAAGTACGATTTAATGTAAATGTAAGTACTATTTGTATTGTTTAATTTATTTTTCAAGTTATAATAAATATATCCTTCGTTAGGTTCTTTCACTTCAATACTTATACACATAAACGATAATAGCCAATATGTTTGTGTACTCGCTAATTTGAATCAACTAGTTACAGTTACGAAAAACGGTTCCGATAAAAATTTAAAAAACGGGAGGACCCACCTCTAGTTTTTTAGGTATATTAGGATCGGAACCAGAGAATATGTAAAATATCTCTGATCGGAACTATTCGTCTCACTAATAGCCAATAGGTGTTAAAAATATTTGAGGAGGGGAGACCAAGGGGAAATATGATTGTTATCTTTGTCTATTCGCTGAAAATATGATTTTATATCTGCGTTAGATATCCTGTTAAATTTTACCATACCGACCATAAAATTTTTCCTACACTGTATATATATATATATATATATATATATATATATATATATATATATATATATATATATATATATGGCTTCATTAAATGTAGTATTTTGTTTTATACCTAAAAGTGTAATTAAATTTAAAATATATTTAAACTAAATCCTATTCATTCTAAAATATCCACAATATTTTCGATCGTCATCGATTAATTCTTTGTATAAAGTCCAGTATTCACCTTCCTTTTTCCTTTCTCTTAGCATTGGATGTACTTCAAACCTTCTTTTTACTACAGTTTTTCTTTCTTTATCGTTAAGTAGAAGAGCAATTGCACATAATTTTTGTCGCGAAAAGCGAGAACATAATTATCTTCACCGCACCAAACTGAAACGTTCTATGTATGAAAATGTGAACGCGCAGTCCGATTGCTGGACTCGAAACGTTATGTGCAGAATAATGCCGCGACCTTAAATGTGATTGTTGGTTTTCACACAAACCCCAATATGGTACCTATTGTTTGTTTTCTACCACTAGTAGGCACGCAATTTATATAGAATTCATGCAGCATCCAACGTGCTAAAATAAAGTAATAAAATCAAATAATATTAAATTTTCATAAAAACGACCAGTAACGAACCAAAAACGAACATAAGTTGTCGACCAGTGTGATGCATGAAAATGACACTCTTTATTATTTTTATTTATAAAACTCAACATGCTTTAACGGCCTAGGACTGAAAAGTTTACATTTATCTAATAAGTATTACAATTATTATTTTTCATTTTTTTTAAATTATAATAAATACATCTAATATAATAATAAAACACTGAAAACTCTGTTTCAAAACTTCCACAAAATTTATTACAATATTTTATCACTACAGCTGTTTCAGCAGAGTGACTTTCTCAAGTGATCTATTTTTGGTATGTGTTTACAATTTATACAAAACCGCCGGACAGACTTTTTCAAAATTTCACAGGAACTAAAGCAGGGAGATGGGTTGTGCCCCAACTTTGTTTAACCTAGCACTGTATTATGCGGTTAGGCAAATGCAAACTGAACGAGGAAACCTACTGACCAACCGAACGGTTTAACTGGCCGCTTATAATATTATGAGTAGAACATCAACAGGAGCACAGGAAACATACAGAGTTAAAAACGCAAACAAAAGGGCTAGGTCTGGAAATTAACACAGAAAAAACAAAAATAATAATACAGACGCGAACAAATATAGTCCCACAAAACATTATACATGAAGATGCGATTGAAACGGTTGGAAAGTTTACATACCTGGGTGTAGAAATATATGCCGACGGATCAGAAGATGGAGAAATACGCAAGAGAATAACGCAGGCAAATAGAGCATTTTGCTCTCTCCCATATATTTCTGTCTAAAAATGTTCACCGAAATACAAAGATGAAAATCTATAAAACCTTAATTCGACCAATAGCATGCTATGGCAGTGAATCATGTGTCCTGAAAGAAACATCCAGAAGCAAACTCGACACAATCGAAAGGAAAGTACTGTGGAGAATACTAGGTCCTGTGAGAGAAACGGAATCTTCAGAAGTCGATACAACAACGAACTTTATCAACTTTATAAGGAAGCACCACTGTCAGATTTCATTAGAAAAAATTGCAACAGGCCGGACAAGTGATAAGAATAGTAGAGGATAGGCTAACAAAAAAAAGCACTGAGTGCTAGAATGCAGGGAAAGAGACTGATTGGAAAACCAAGAAAGCGTTAGAAAGACACAGTAAACAGCCTTTTTAAACAACAGTATAAGCCCTTTTAGGAGTCTGAATATGGAGAAGATCAGTCACAGACAAGCAAGGGTGGAGGCAAAAAATAAAGGAGGCCAAGGCTTAATTTGGGCTGTAGTGGTGTAGAAGAAAAAGAAGTTTACACTTTATAATATTCAACTAAATAGGTTGAGGAGGAAAAAACTATTTGTCTCAAATTGGTCATTCAGAATTATGTCTGTATTGTTTAATTTTTCATTTTCCATAGATTCTAATAAAGATAGCTTTTATTTTGGATGTGAAGAATTTGAAATTCATCATGAAAAGAATGATTATGATCTTGAAGGTGAAGTGCGTATGTATAATCTGTTTTTCTATTATTGAAAGCCCTTTTATGCTCTGCTATACATTTGTTAAAAGTTCTACCAGTTTGACCGATGTAAGTTTTTGGAGAGTCGCCACATTTAAGTTTGTATACACCACTGTGTAAGTACTTTTTATTTTGGTTCTTGTTTTTAATATATGTGCCCAAGTTGTTGTTTGTTCTAATAGCTGGTGTTATTCCTTTCTTTTTTATGTGCTTGTCTATTTTTATTGATATCTTGCCTGTATATGTAATCGAGCAGAAACTGCTTGGTTTTTTCTCTGGTGGTGCAAATACTAATTTCAGGGCTTTCTTATGTAGTTTTTGATTTAAAATTTTATTAATTGTTTGTTCGTTGTAACCACTGTTTATTGTCCTTTGCTTAATAATATCCAATTATATCTCAAAGTTATATTTGACATCGGAATTTCTATTAATCTATATAACATGCTATGGTAGGCTGCCGATTTATATTGTGTAGGATGAGAGGATGAATTGTGTATAGTTGTGTCAGTATGGATAAGTTTATGAAATACGGAGAACTCATGTTTCTTTTAAAGTGATCATTTTTAAATCTAAAAAAATTATGGATTGATTTTGTTCTGTTTCTATTGTAAATTCAATATGACTATAGAGTGAATTAATATACCTACGATAAAAATTGGTCAAGTTGCCTATTAGCTCGTGTAAACACATTATATTTCTTATGATCTTTCCATACATTGCTTTACCACTTCCTTCCATTAATTTCCGTCCAATGCTTTTTCTTTTTAATTCTCAATACTTATTACTTTTTTTAAGTCTTAATATACACTGTAGTTTCATCTCTTTCTTGATCTATTTTCCTTCTGTTTTGTATTGTCTTTCGTTTAAGTACCTTCATTTTCAGCATTAATTCTTTTCTCGGCTTTTTAGATAATTCTTTATTATTGCTCCTTCTCCATTGTATTGCTCTTTCCCTTCCGAGGAATCGAAACTTCTACCATCACTAATAGGTCTTCAAACAAAAGTTCAACACAAAGCGGAACTGGCAATAATGGCAAATATAAAAATAATGATTGAAATAGCGACCCAAAACTGACACCTAAACGCTTTCCAGACGATTTGAAAAGAATAAGAACAAAACTAAATCCAAACAATTCAGAACATGAACGATTACAATTCCAAAATACGTTTGAGGAAAGCATATGTTCAACAGTAGACGTAACGAGCGTTATAGCGCGGATCAATAAGATGTTTTTGTTTATTTAGTTAGGAATGACTAATTTTGGCTTTGTCAAAAATTTAACTACTTTAACAAACATTTTATTATTTATTTTATTCTAATATGACCTTTTCCTTAATAAACTCTTTAAATTAAAAATATATCTGATTTCCTATTAAAAATGAAATTATCATAAGTAACTGCCAATGTGATTAGTCCCAATTAAAACCAGTTATAAATCGATAACACCCAAAACTGTATCATAATTTGCTTAACAGTAAAGTTACACCTCTTAAAGGCAAGTTCCCTTTTTATTGGTTTACCGTTTTATCAAATAATATTTCAGCTTTACTCACACACCTTCAAAAAACAATACATTCAACAGCTATTCGTTAGTAATGTTACCAGTAACACACAGTTCTACCCTAAATGATCGATTTACCAATAAAATACAAGAACTTAAAACTAGTTTTACTGATAAGATGAGTAAAAACCTGTCTCAAATTTATTTGGCCAATAGCAAGTTTTTGCTGAACTCCTTTTGGGTGTTATCGATTTATAACTGGTTGGGACGAATCACATTGACAGTAACCTAGTTTGATTTTAATTTTTAATAGTAAATAATTTTTGTCAATTTAGAGTTTTTATTAAGGGCACGTCATATTAGAATAAAATAAAACAGTAAAATGTTTGTTGTAAAATGTTGAAATTGGAATCGCTCGTAAAAAACTTACGTGTTTATGAAAATCAGATGTTACTTTAAACACGTTGGCTGCCGCATGAATCCCATATAAATTACGTGCCTTATAGTGGCGAGATAAAGGCAATACCACATTGGCTAACAGAAACATTAACATTCCAGGTTAACTGTTTATAAATAAGAATAGGCCAAAGACTTGTACAACGCTCATTTACTAAAACTTTAGTCAGTGGAGTTATTCCATGTGGTAGTATTAGTATAACAGAGCCATGTTGATCGACAACCTTCAAATGCTGCCAAATGCTGAACACAAGAAGATCATTTTTTAACTTTCGTAAAAATTTTTAACACTACTTGTTATCCGTATTTGCAATATTCGACATCGAAGGAATATATCATGGCGATGTAAAACGAAGATTGAGTATTGAACAGATTAATATTAACCGTAAAAGTGACACAATCCAAAACCGACGAAGAACAAAATTTGCTAATATTAAAAGTGAAATAAAAGAACTACATTTAATTACGTCCCCATCAATTACCAAAATTCGGATAAAGCTGCAAAATTTTTGCAACTTTTCGGCTTTATCGACCAGGTTACAAACTTTGTCTAATTACGTTCTAAATGGAAGGACATCGTTTGTATCAGATGTAAACTTTAATAAATGTTTTTGTTCGTTGGTAAAACACTGTCCCAAAAGAGAGGTTTTTCTTTAATTTTCTACTTGCTATTAACTCTTCTGAGATGTATGCTTAATTCTGACTTGTTTTCTAGTGTCAGAATAATTGATTTATGATGACTAAGCTACTAAATATGAACGTAAACCTAATAATAACGAAAAAATATTTAATTTTTTTTAGATTAGATATGGTAAATTTTGTAAAACCGGCACTGCACTATGCTTGTATACATGAAAGAAGCAAGATGATTTGGAGTGTGAAAACTCAATCTTTAACAAGATGTTCAAACATAAAACTATGTTTAAAAACAATATTTACTACAAAAATAATGAAATCGATGTTTTTATCTCAGCTGTTAAAAAAAAAGTAGTGAGTGCATACTTCTACTTAGCTTCTCCTGATTGTTGGTAGCTTAGAACAAAGATTTCATTTTTATCATTTTTTATAGTATCAAAGATTATTTTTATTACTGTACTTTTTATATTAAAAAATAAATATTTTTAAACTTTACATCACTATTTGTGAAATTAAAGGGGCTATGGAAAAATTGAACGCAAATCATCTATGAAATTGTAACAGTGAAAATCTATGAAAGAGGAAAAACTGAATGAGTTCTGTATCTAATGAAAAAGACTAACAATATTATTTAGCCTACAACAAAAAAAAAAACAAGGAAATAAATCAATAAATTAATTAGAAACAAGGAAAGACATTTTTTCCAATTTTCATCATAAGGTCGCTTAAGGAAAACTGTAGAATTAAGGAAAACCATATCGTTCTGAAGCTTAATTGCATTAATGAAAATAAGAAGAGCCAAGAAGAAATAACTAGGACAGGAGTAGGTATACTCATCCATGACACAACGAAAAACAAAACTTTCACGGCCATCGTCTAACTTGTTAAACTGTGTGTCCGGTTTGTTAGGCCGTTGTCTTCTGAGATTAGTTCTCGACGTTTCGCTAACACTAGGGGTTGGCATCTTCTGGACAGCAGTAACATCTCCAGAAGATGCCAACCAAAAAATCATTAAAAAGTTTATGTAAATAAAACTCAAACGCAATAACATGTATAATGTATAGTGTTATAGAAAGTTAATTTTTTTTATTTGCCATGTTGGGATTTTTACACGAATTAAAAAAAACATAATGTTCTACGACCCTTAAACCCCGTGTTAGCTCATTTTTTTTACAAAAATTCACCGGTACTTTGTTTTATACACAATAAGCAATTTAAAAATAACCATTTGAAAGATTAAGGGTTTAAGTTTAGACAAATTTTTTTTAGAACGATTCCTTTAAAAATGAACTCTCTACATACTTAACTTTACTATTTCTATTTATAATTATACAAAGTTTATAACAATTAAAGTTTAAGATATATTTGTAATCTTTTTCAGTCAAGCAGTTTCAACACAAATTGTGATTGAATATTTCGATAATTTAGAGATATCATTGTTCAAAGTAAAGCCAGTGTCAATAATTAACTACGACCAAATCAACTTGGCTGAGGTCATGGGAGAAAGCGCGTTGTCGTTAAAAGGGGATGAAAGCATCTAGAATTTGTTTTAAATTCTTCTAAACCTTCTACATCAGTCTTCTTCTTCTTCACGTGCCATCTCCGCGACGGAGGCTGGCAATCATCATGGCTATTCTGATCTTAGATGCTGCTGCTCTGAATAGTGGCAATTGATGTGCATCCGTACCATTCCCTCAAGTTATGCAACCATGAGTATTCATCTACATCAGTAATGATGGAAAAAGAAGGTCCAAGAGGAACGGGATATGACAATAGCAAATCAGGTTGAATAGATCAAAAAACTTTTGATGTATGGTTTTCTACGATAGCTATGCCCTATCTGAAGAGACTAGACTCAGCATGAGCATTAATTTTCATGTCATTGCTGAATTTAAAGTAATGATATCCAGTTTATTTTTTACCCAAATATTCAACTCACATAGCACAGCCTCTAGATGTTGCCATTCAAAAGACAATGACGCGATATACTGATGGAGTAGAAGCTAAAAGGCAATAGAGGAACAGTACTAAAATACATATACTTCATCTAATTTACTTACCTTTGCACGTCATCCGTGTCATAGCTTGTGAGGTCACATGATACCAACACGAAATATTTAGGCGGTAGGTGTATTCTTTTTTAGAATCACTTTGCCGAGTACGCTGGCATTACAGTGACTAGATATATTTTATTATATACGAGTAGAAATAATATTTAAAAATTTCTATTAATGTTAACTTAAAGAAATACAAAATAATATGTTTCATTTAATTTGTATAAATGATTATAAAGCGTTTTTATGAAGAACATTTGTTCGGAACACACTGTAACTGTAATCGAACGAAGGTGATATTTTGGCATAAATTGGTAACACTTATTTGACAGTTGCGGTGTTGATACTTTTTGTACTTTATTATTTCGAATTTTAAAGTGAATACCTCTTCGTTTATATTTTTACCTATTTAATAAAATCTGTTTTTTTTTTAGAACAAAATTAGTGTGTAGTATTAATTACTATTATTATTATTATTATTAGTGTGTCTAATATTAATTTGTTTTGTTGTATAATCCACTTTTGCAATAATTACGTGACCTATTTAATTTAAAATGGATTTAGGATTTTCTTATACTTTGGCAACTATGTCAACTTCGATCTCTGTCAATGATGATGACGTGCAACGGTAAGTAAATTAGATGAAGTCCCGATGTCCCGATGATATTCCCGTCTTTGCTTAAAAAACTGTTAAGCAAAATGTAAACAAACACGGTCGAAATAATTAAAGCTGGATTTAAAAAGTCTAGAATAATTCCCATTAGCAGGATTAAAGTTTTAGCTCAAATTTTGAAAGACAGTACATATGCTGAACCTGATCAACACAATATGGAAAACTCTTTCATTGATATTTTAAGACAGTTAAGATACAGCAATGACAAAGCTAAGAAGAATTCACAGAAGAAGAGAAATGAAAAGAAGGCAATCTGGAAAAATGCAGATTTTCTGAAAACAACGTCTTCGACTTCTTTAAAACACTCATTGAAAACGACGATTCAAGTGCAGATGCCGAGAAGAGTTATTTATTGAAAGACGAGTCAAACGAATTCCCTATATTTGCAGAATTTGAAAACTCCCACGCCGAGTCCCAGACGCATTGGAGTAAATTCAAAGTTGATTATAATGGCATTAAAGAAAATTATTTTTTGCTCATTAAAATGCATGTTAGTTCGGTGAAAAACAAGTGAAACGGTTTGTTGATCAGGTCTTCAGTGAGGCAGGTGCATCCAATGGCGCCAACAAGTCGGTCGAAGTTTCATTTTTGAGACCTTACGAACTTTTGAAAGATACATTTACGTGTCCTGATGTTAACGACAGAAGTTTTCTTTACTCTTTTGAAGTGAAGTGTCGCTTACCTATGGCACACAAACAAAGAAGAGGGCTTTTTAAATTTTTATTTTGATGTTTTATAGTTATACTTACTTGTATAGTAAAAATATATTGAATTTTTATAATTTATGTAACGAAGTATCCCAAATTAAAAAAAAAAACTAAATTTTCATTGATTTCCGGAGATATTGCGACTTTTATAAATTTGAATTTATGAATTAAGTCTTTAAAATGGTAAAATCAAACAATCAAAAAAAGGGCCAACTTGGGTTCTAATGGTCATTGGAATTTTTTTTTTAATTCGTGTAAAAAAACTTCCTGATGCGATGAGGTGGTGTTTACTTTTGTAAAAATTTTACAATATTTAACATACATTTTTTTACCCTTAAATGATTTAAATTGATTAAATAAGCATTTTTCTTCAATATAGTATTTTGAGAATTCATGTAGAATCAATAGTTTACGCATAATAACGTTGTAGATAAAAGCTTTCAGGGATAAACAATTTCAATTTTGCAATAACTGTCAATTGAAATTTTTTGTCAGTTGTTAGATACCCCTATCAAAAAATGTTACGAAAAAGTCAATACCCTAATCACAACATTTGCAAATCTGACTGAGAAACCATAGGGATAAAGAAATATGCACAAAGTTAAAACAGCGTTAAGGAAAAATAGTTTCTCCATTTCGACCACTAAAGAGGCATAGACATTCCGAACAAAAGCAGAAACTCAGTAGTAGAAGAAGCACCAATTTTTAAAACTATCCTGCTCTATATAAAGGGCACGATAGACAAAATCAGCATACTTCTAAGGAAAAGAGAATAGAGGATATATTTAACAATGCCAAAAAAAATTCACTATCGATATCTATAGATCGACTACATTACGATCCGTAAAAATAAAAATTGCATTGGAAAATTAAGAAATAATGCCGTCGAAAGAAAAGAAAAGACGTCATCCCTAGCACAACATGTCATAAGCACAGGACATGCTATAAATTTAAATCAAACAACAGTGCTAGCTATAATTGAAAATAGAACAAAATGTGTAATCAGGGGAGCAGTAAATCGAATAAATAGTAATTGCAAAATATTCAAACAATTTAAATATAAAAGATGACACCCAAACACTTTCAACTACATGGAAAGCACCTCTTTAAAAAATCGTAGAAATCAAAAACGCAAATAAACTGTCGAATAAGACCCCGCCGAATTATATGCGCACAGGATCAGTCACAAGAAGTGTAATATCACAGCGACCTATAAAACACCAGAGAGAAAACATTACAAAAAGTAACATAACAGTACACAAAGAAGATAGTTCGTAGCTCGAAAAACTCATGGACAAGCGCAAGGTACAACGTGGGCCAGTTAATTTTAATTTGATTATTATTATATATAAGTATACACTAATTCTGATTTTTGTTTTAGGTATCCCACAAAAAAAATTCACAAAACACAAAAAACGGCTTCGGCCAACAAAAACAAGAAAATTACTAACAAAAAACCGGCGCAAGCCACAAAAAAAAATAACAAAATCCACAAACAACTCGGGCACGTAGGACAACCCTTGAGCACCAACCTCCGAACTGAGCCTAGCTCATAGAGGAGACTTCAGACCCAAATAAGCAATTTTAGTTCGCAGATAAGCCACATTAAGATAACATGATTATAGCGGCAATACGCTGTCCTGAATTTGTTTTGGTTAGGGAACCATGTTGGAGTTCTATTACCCAGGACTCCCATATGAAGAGCATTTGGCTGATAGTTGTGCCCCAATCGCGCATCACAGTGCTATAGGGGGGAAAGGGATGGTCTAGAACATTCCATATTCCGTATACTCGAGTTAATACACCTCGCTCCAATAAATGTCCTCAGGCTGGGCTTACAGACTGGGTTTAATTAAATTGCTTGCTTGTTTGAGCGACCTATAAGTTATCCTCGAACGTCTAGAAGAAGCGGAACTAATCTGATTTGACAATTGCAAGTGTGAACTTGCCAAAACGTCGTCAAAAATAATTTTATTTAAACCAAATTTATTCAACGCAGGGTCCAATTCGGAAAACTACAATAATAAACGTTGAAAGCCTACAGGGTGATTTAAAAAGGTATCTATTTCAAAAATTTATAACAAGATAGAACATAAATCCAAAAATAAATAAAATAAAATTATTGAAGCAGATGACGAGAAACAGCATGGAAAAAATTAGAAACCAAACTTATGTTAGCAACATCTGAAGTGCTAGGAAATCGTTTAGTAAATATAAACCACAAGAAACTCGACCAAACGCTTTGGATCGGACAATCAAAACAAAATGAAAAGAACAAAGTCTGAAAATTACAATAAAAACCACAAACAAATAAGGAAGGAAACTAAAGCATTCATAAAGAAAACAAATACCTGGAACTCTTCTGTTCCAGAATGGAAGACGATATGAAGAGTACGCTTACAGAAGCAGACAAAATAGATATAGGGACTACTTGACTGATCCACTGAATTATTTAAGGTCAGCAAGAATCGAATGTTACCAGAAATTTCAGAAATATTTACCGAAAATGTAATCATCCCTCAAAGGAAAAAAAAAACAAGAAGCATTAAAGAAACATAAACATAAAACACCAGAAAACCAAAGAATATCTTTAATTAACTTACGGCTTCCTTCCAAATAAACTGTTAAAATATGGTGGAAACTCATTGACCTATTAAGAATACTCATGCAAATTCCTGAGGAGTCAAAGAAAAAATACTAACAAAAAGAACTAGTTTGCTTAGGAGACACATAGCGGGCGTTTTTGCTGTCGGACGCTACAAAGTTGTAAATCTTACTGTAAATCAACAAGTTCTTAGCGTGCGTCTGCAAAAATACCTCTTATTTTAGTAGTGTTAGTAGTCTAGTTAGTAGTTTTACAGATGTAAAAACATAGACCTGCATCGGACAACTCAAAAAGATGAAGAAATAATCAACATGCCCAAAAAGAAAAACTTGAATACCTTACACCGACATATTGCACGAGAACCTCTGTATTTTCTGCTACAAAACATACTGGAAGATAAAAAAAGGCAAAAGAAATCAGGGAAGAAAAAAAAAAGATTAACATATTTATCTTAGACCATCGTCGAGGAAAACAAACATGGAGATATATTAGTAAGAAATACCAAAAGAAAAGATCGAAATAGTGGAAACAGATACCTGAACTTTTCTTTTTTGGGCACCGTGTCCTTTTAAGAAGTTGGTAATTATTTCGTCTATTTTCATGGGTTACCCATATCGACTTATCCCTCCGTACGAACTACCATACTTGTAGACCTCAAAGATCTCACGGCAAAACTTCGACAAATCACCGGAGATAGCAATATTTCCATAAATTCAGGATTAAAATCTAAAAACCCAACTAATCCGCAACCTGTTCTAAATTATCAACAAAACTTTTATTTAGTCATTACCGGCGTCGACAAAAAACTATCTCAAAAAATCATCCAGGAAAATCTATCGAAAACAATTTACAAATTCTACAAATCAACCCACCTCTTTCAGGAGAGTTTTTACAAACTGAAATTAAATTCGCAGATGCACTCTTGAATGGTATTAAGATCAAAGGAGAACGATTGAAATGTGAGATTCCAAGATCAAGCAATTCCGTTCCGGTTCGACTATAATACTGTTCAAAATTCTGCAAAAACGGACACCTCAGCAACGAATGAACGGAAAAATCAATTATCTGTACATACTGTGAAGCACAACACATGTCTACTGCATGCCCCACGATAGGTGTTCCCAAATGTCCCAGCTGTAATGGAGGCCACCAGCCATCTTCACAAACATGCCCACACCGAAGAATCCAACCAAAAGACACAAATCAAACACAACACGTACACACTTCCAAACAAATTCTCCTACGATCTATCCTCGGACATGAAATCCCTAATCCACTTCACATTCATGATCTCTTCAATGTCTTCCCTGAAAAAATAAGAACACTTATCATTTACCCACACATACACTTTACCTCCACCCAAGCTCACAAATCATAAACATACAAACACCAAAAAAGAAACAAGCCAACAATACACAACCAATAACTACACAAATTAACACATCCACTCCTTAAGAGTCGTATTCAAAATCACAAGGGCAGGGAGAGATTGATTTTCTGTGGTTTTCCAATCTCATTGTACAACGATACCTGGACCCTGGACACAAAGATGAGGACACAGCCACAGTTATCCTCCACGCGTTTAAACCGAACAAAACAAAAACGCCAACAATCTGAAAAGGGCCGCTTTTCCAACGAACTTATACTTAGTAGCGGGCTTGGTCCATACGGCGTCCAAAAGGTAGGAAATCCTTCTGACACTACTGCTTTACAGCCACCACTTAATTCTGGAGAGCGGTAATATGCAAATTGACGTTTATCCAATAAAAAAATCCACCCTGTAAGAGGCGACTAAGCCTAAACAAGGAAAAAACTTGGTTTGATTAATAGGTTAGCCAGGAAAGAGGTGTAACATTTTGTTAGACAAAAATAGAATAAAATCTTCATCCTGAAGATGGATTAACAACTAAACTTTGGATTAGTATTAAGAGTTATAGAGTTAAAGAGTTATATGAACTTATTGAACAAAAGGACACATAATAGAAGAATATTATACGTGGGAAAGTATTTACTCATAGACGAAAAAATGGACAGAGCAGATTGGGGGCTTAGTATAACATTGTTAGGACAAAACAGATGAAAAATAGCTTTGCAGGAGAAAAATATAGTCAAATAACATGAATATACGCTGAGACGGTGACAAAATTGGCAAGTGTCTATTAAATAGTGAAAAAAAAACAGCATAATGAAACAGTCACTAATCCACAACCGGATATAACGCAAACAAAAGAAGAATAAAATAAACTTGACATCACTTACCTTCTTTAAGTTTCCGAAGAGTCTCGTGCAACTGATTACTAACACCTTCCGACTTATTTTCGCACAACTGTAACTGTATTTTCAAATTCTCCGCCTCACTTTGACAGTTATCTCTCTCCGTCTTCACCTCTTCGATCCGCTGTTCCAGCTTGTTGATTTCTTCTTCGGTCCTGGCTTTGGCTTCCTCCAACCTCGTCTTGTACTTACTCAATTCCTCCTTTAATTTGTTTATGTTTGTTCGGTCCTGTTCGAAGCGGCTGTTGGCCTCTCTCTTCAACCTCTCGGCACCGTCCCTTTCGTCCTCCAACTCTCTTCTGGTAGCTTCTAACCTGTCGTGCAGCGCCTGGTGGTCATGATGAGCTACGAAAACAAAATTCTTGTTAAACGGTACATTATTTCTATGAGGACATTGTTATTCCGGTCGAAATGTGAATCAAAAATGCCGAAATATAATGAAATATACTTTCTTATGTTCATTATATTTAGAAACAAGTCATTTCCCTAATGTTATGATGATATCACTTTTATATCTATTTTCATGAATGAAATCACCGTTTATTTATTTTTAATTTAGTGCTACAATATTTGCGGATGACACTATTTTTAAAATTTTTATTTGAATAACAAAAAAGCTAGACTAATATAATGCACAACCTGTTTTCTATACCGGGCTGCTGGGAAGATTCAATCAACAACTTTTTAAATTTAAGATGCACACGAATTCGAGGATTATTCTATGATCGACGCAGTTATTTTGCTTCGGGGCAAACAACTGGTTCCTCCAGGACTGGTTTCGCCCACTAACGTTTTTCTTAAATGTGTACACTTTATTTCACAATCGATTTGTTTGTAAATACTTCAAAATACGAAATAGTACAAATTTGAATTACCCTACACCACATTAATACGCGGAATAACGAAACAAAAATAATAAAATACTTTTTTTAAAGAAGATCTATAAATATACTGGATCATAATATATTTGAACAGCTTATTTAAATAATAGCTTACATATTTCAAAAATAACGAACGACGTAGATCTTCTAGCACTTTAAAACAGTAATAGGACTAGATGCTATTCCTGAGGAAGTACAGACCGCGTTAAGAAAGCCAGATGGTAAAATAGTTAATAGGTTACGCCTGTAGACGTAATAGTTTGTCCCCCAGTATTGCACATATCAAATTAATCAGATCAGAAGATCAGATCCGTGTATTAGTAGACTTATATAATACTATATATAATACGGGTATTATTCCGAGAGATTGGTTCAAATCAACATTTATTACATTACCAAAAAAAAGCTAATGCAAGGGAATGTAATGACCACCGTATAATAAGTCTAATAAATAACACTCTAAAAATATTCTTAAAAATGATCCATTTAAGAATTTTCAGAAAAGTGAAACAAGACATCACTGAAACCCAATTTGGATTTAGGAATGCCATGGGTACATGAGAGGCATTATTTGGATTTAACGTCCTCATGCAAAGATGTATGGATGTAAACCAACCACTCTATGTTTGTTTTATTGATTACAATAAAGCGTTCAACAAGCTCCGACACAACTGTTGACACACATTGACAAAAAATACTTAAGAATAATAACTCATCTCTAGTTTAACCAAACAGCAAAAGTCAGAGTCGGCAGAGAACTTTCGGAGGAAGTAGAGATAAAAAGAGGCGTAAGGCAAGGTTGCATACTCTCCCCCTTATTGTTCAATCTATATTCGGAAGAAATAATTAAAAAATCACTCGAAAATGTAATAATTGGAATAAAAGTCAACGGCAGACCCATCAAGAATATCAGATATGCCAATGATACTATACTAATTGCAGATAATATACAAGATCTACAGACACTTTTAGATAATGTAGTAAATGGTAGTAAGGAAAGCGGACTAACGCTTAATGCTAATTAAACAAAATTAATGCAATTTCTACAACACAATAACAAGACATTTTAAACATAAGAGGTGTTACAATAGAAAAAGTAAAAAAATACAGATATCTTGGTACAATTATTAATGAAAATAACGAGTATACAGAAGAATAAAAATGACAATTGGACAAGCTAGAGCAACATTTAATAACATGAGAAAAGTATTGTCCAGTAGAGACCTTAGTTTGCAACTCAAAATAAGAATATTACGTTCATATGTGTTTTAGGTGCTGTTGTATGTGGTGGATGCCTTGACCTTAAAGAAAAAGGTGAGCGATCGACTTGAAGCATTCGAGATGTGGACCTACCGAAGAATATTAAAAATAAGTTGGGTAGACCGAATAACAAATGTTGAGGTCCTCATAAAGATGACAAAGGAAGTGGAAATCATGAATACGATTAAGATAAGAAAATTACAATATCTCCTGGCTCAACAATCTGAGAAAGTGGTATAATTTCAGTTCCGTCGACTTGTTTAGAGCTGCAATCTCAAAAGTGAAAATAGCTGTGATGATTACCAACCTCCTTAGAGGAGACGGTACCTAAAGAAGAAGATTGCACATACCAGTGCAATAAAAAAAACTGAAAATAAATAAGTATTTAAGGCAAAAAGAATTAGAAGAGGTGGTGGGACACCTCTCTGATTTTGAGTTTCGGTCTCAGTGACTCAGACGTGAGTGAAAACGGAGACCATATTGAAGTCTTCAACTAAGACGACGACATTGAAAATTCAACTGAGGTTAGTTTCAGTTTCGACACAATTGATGAAAACTGTGACACGCCACATTTATATAAACCAAAGTTAGGAATAATCTACTTAGCTCACCCTACACGTCATATACGGCGAGCTATACCAAACATTTTTCGTGAGCAATCACGACACGACACGAAGGCAAAGTAGAAAATATATTGCAGTCGTTTCAAAAAATTCTTTACTCCCGAAATACTGCAAAATCTTGTGCGGCATACTAATGAGGAAGCTGAACGTAAAAACGTGCGAAAAACAGATGATATCGAGATTTTATTTAGCTTTATTGGTATTTTCATTTTGATGGGAGATAATGATGACATCAACTTATATTATTACCATTTGGGTTTAAAAAATTCGTCAGATGATCGTATATTGCCCCGATTAGTCGAAACAGATTCCGAGAAGTGACAACAATTTTAAGATTTGACGATAAAACCACCAGAGCTGGGAGGAAACAGGCAGACAAGTTTGCACCCTCACGTAAAATGTTTGATTTGCTAAACGATACATTTTTAAAAATTTTACACCAGGCATGAACGTCGTAATAGACGAAATGTTATCTTTATTTCGGAACAGATGTTCGTTCAAAGTTTTCATGAAGAAAAAGCCTGGTGTTCTTATACGAATACTTGAAGATTGTTCAACTCGTTACGTTTTGCGCATCGAAGTTTATGCAGGAAAATATGAAGGCAGCACATCAGCATCTAGGGGTCCACAGATAATAGTAAAAAGATTGCTGTCTCCCATTCTAAACTCTAGACGTAACGTAACGACGAACATATATTACACTTCTGTGGAGTTTGCAGATCTCTACAAAGACTTCGGTCTGACTTTATGTGGCACTCTCCAACAAAATCGCAGACTTATACCGGAAGTACTTAAGAAAACAAAAGGAAGAAAATTGTATTCAAATATGTTTGCATTTTGAGATCCAAAGTCCGGAAACTCACCAGTTACTCTTCTTTCTTATGTAACACGTCAGAAGCCTACAAAGATACTTATCTTTCTAACTACCCAGCATTCTGATGATGTTGCAAGCGACAAACACAAAATAAATCAGATATTAATCTTTTTTATAATGAGACTAGGGGAGGTGTTAATACTTTAGACCAGATGGCGAGAAAATATACGTAGAAACGATCGACACGAAGATGGCCACTTTCAGTTTTTTTCACCTTATTGGATATTGCAGCCATCAATGCGTACTCTCTATTTATTACTCAATTTTCCAAATTGGAAAGAAAATAAGACCAAACGTCGTCGTTTGTTTCTGCAAGAATAAGGATTTGCCTTAACGCTACCGCTTATTGATATAAGAGCTGCGAATTTAAATGGACTTTTAGAGACTAAACTATAGACTAAATCATTCTGTAATGCATGCCATGGAAAATATACTCGAATGCAAACTTTTCCACCTTTAACACCTTCCAAAAGAAGAGAAAAAACCAATAAGTTGGCAAAAACATCCATAGTTTGTTCAAAAGGCCAAAAGTTTATATGGGGTAAGCACAGCAAGAAGTCAAATGCTTGTGTATCCTGAGATGATGCAAATTTAACTGAAGCTGAAGACCCGGGTAAATTATAAATTCTTATCGTTTTAAACTGTTCCATTAAGATCTAGGAATACTTTTTTATTTGTAAAAGTGTTATTTTTAAATTGTTTTTAATAAATACGTACGTTTTTGATTAATATTTATGTGGACATGTATTGATCCTCCTTGGTCCTTGCTGTTTCTAATAAAAGGTTGGTCCTGCAAGGGTTAATTCCTATACTTGATCAATTAATGAAAATAGCTCAAAAAAATTTGTGTTCTTTCAAAAAATTTTCATAAAATAATTGAGTCTATTTAATATAAAATTACCACTCACTCTAAACAAGTCATTGGCTTCGAGAATAAGATATTGAACCGAAAGAACAGCTCCATATGTAGACGATTAATAAGGGTACATTACCCTCTTCAATAGAAGACTGCTGTGTAGAGGTGTGCTTATTAGTTCTTTTAGACGAACTAGTTCAACAGAACTATTTCACAAAAATGAACTAGTTCAGTGAACTAGTTCGCGAAAGATTTATTTGTAGGACGACATCGAAATCTAACTCTAACAGAACTGGTTGCCAGATGTCTCGTCTCAATCATCACACAAGCTCGGCGCTGGCCGCCCGTTTACTTCGGTTTTCAGTCAGTCTTTTTCACTAGTTCACTACCGTACAAGTAGTTCGGAACTATTTCTTTCGATCGTATGTTTAGGTTTAAATGGTTTAAATTATTATATGATTAGTTAGTTTTTATTTGCAAAAAATTATTAAGATTTGTTTAAGATTAACCGTTTTAAATATAAATATGGTTCAAGTATGATTTATTTTTATATTTACGTATATTTAAACTAATAGGTATTTATAATTAGGTTATTTCTAAAAGAACCTTTACAAAAGAAAATCAGTGAATTTTCTAGGAACATTAAATAACACATTTTGATTCTCACTTTTACATAAAATTATATTTTATGTAAATGCCTCAATCATTTTAACCACAACTAAAATTTTTATTTTAAAATTACAATACAAGAAACAACACAGCATGGCAACATCCAAGCCAATACATGGGCATAAGATCCAAACCATTATGACATTAAGATAAGACCATATGGTATTGTCACATTCATAAGAATTATGAATCTGTTATCTGAGGCTAATCGGCAAACTAGTTAGTCCATCCATTCACAAAATAATAAATATATGTTCTAATTCATTCATTCATTATTTTCTTCTTTAGAAGTCGAGACATAATTTATAATGCAAATCGT